ATGCACTATATGATTTTTTTTAATGAGAACAAATTCTATAATATTCTGTAGAAGGAAAAAAGTATAATACACTGCTTTTACACTGGACTTTGCATACTTTTAAACTTTTTCAGTTGCATACAGTTAGGTACATATAAAAAGCATTTTAACTTAAGGATTGCTACATTATACATTTGTCTAAATATGCTTATTTCAGATTTTGTTACAAGTGGAATAAAAACTGAAATTGATGAATTGTGTTTGAGCTATTAGAATTAAAGTCCTGATTAAGTGTAACAGTAAATTACATTTATACATTCTTGGTATATTAAACCTCCAATTAAGATCAAGAATCTTAAAACCATTTATGTTTTGAACCAGTAATTCTACTTCTAGGAATTGAACCTAAAGAAGTCTGGTAGAAGCTTTGCTTAACCAACTCCAAATTAACTGATGCTCTTTATTTGTTTGTAAATAAACTAAGTAATACTGCTGGTTTCCTATTCTGTGGAGTGGTCCCACACATTGCTTCAGCCAGTTGAGTTACTCTTGTCAATGCCCTCCAGCCACAGACCACTGAGAACACATCTGTAATTGAACAAGTTGGATTTATTACCATTGTAGGGAGGGAGAATGCACAGTATGCGTGCATTAAGTCATAAGGACTTATTATAGGATTTGGGCTTGTGTTGGGTGATTTTGGGAAAAGGTTTAAGGAAGAGGGGCTTTGCTCTGGATTGGATATTATTAGAATGTGGGGTGATTCTTTGGGTTTCTTAATAAATCTTATCTAGAAAGGCTGACTAGAAGGAGGCTAAAGCTATACCTGCTAGAGAAGTAGCAGTCACTCATATTAGCCAGGAGAGGGGGATGTTTGGTATTCTGTAGGTTACACAACGACCTTGTTTTTTGTCCATGTTTAGACAAAATTTTGAAGTTTTTCTTGTTTTGTCTTTTTCAAGGTCTCAGAGTGACCTTGTCTGTCGTTGATGTTTTGTGAGATTGTTTATGTTGAACAGGAGAATAGCATGGCCTGGCTATATGACCAAGGCCAACTTCAGGCATCACCAAGCTGTGTCAGGCAGTTTTCAGACATTAGGGGCTGCTTTTTTCTTCCTCAGGTTGTTGCTAAGATTCATTTGAAACTGGTTTATATCCATTGTACTCTTTGTAATTATATAATTTCATTACTTGTTTATAAAACATTGAAATTTATATGAAAAGTAATTATTTCTGTGAAAACTAAGTTGAACATTTTTGGGAAGACAATAAAGCGAATCGCTTTTAAAAGCAGGGGTCCCCAGTCCCCAGGCTGCAGACTAGTACCAGTCCGTGGCTTGTTAGGAACCAGGCCACACAGCAGGAGGTTAGCGAAGCTTCATCTGTATTTGCAGCCGCTCCCCAGCGCTAGCATCACCACCTCAGCTCCACCTCAGATCATCAGGCATTAGATTCTAATAGGAGCACCAATCCCTGGTCCCAAAAATGTTGGAGGCCACTGGCCAAAGGCATTTTTTAAATGACTATCAAATTAGGGGTGGGTAAAAGACAATATAGAGGCCGTTCAGAATACTTTTTTACCAGAACGATTCTGCACACTGATTACGGTATAAGTGTCTTCAGGTTCTTACTCCACTTTAAAGAAACTCACATTATAAGTTGCAAATGAAATATCACAAGTGTTTAAAATTTATAGTAAAAATGAGGTAGAACTCTTCACTGAAGCCACACTCAGAGACAAGGCCTTGGCCTTCTAACAAAAGGTTAGTGAATTAATGCACTTCTATCCATTTTAAGTCAAAAGTTTCAGGTATGCATGTTTTTTTTTTTTTTTTTTATGAGTTGTCAGTTAAAGCAGCATTTTAAATCAACCCAACTATAGTCCTTATTGTGTCAGGTAAGAGGCTTTTACTGTGCCAAAAAAAGTCATGTAAAGATTTAGGTGCAAATTTGTTCACTGAAACTTTATAATAATAGTAAAAAAAAAAAAAAAGAAAACCTCCACGTTTATTAATGAGAATAATGAAATTATGGCATATCCAAAAGATGAAATAGTATCTAGCTATTAAAAGATCTTTTAACAAGAAAAACAGTCACATAATGTGAAATATAAAGAGCCGGCTACAAAACCAAATTATAATCAGAATTTTAAGAATGTATATGTAATATATATTAATATATGGACAAAAATTCAAATTATGTATTTGTTTACTATGCAAACAAATACATAATTTGAAGGAAATGAACCAAGAAATTGACAGTTTACCCCAGGTACTGGGATTTCAGAGGTTTTTTATTCTCTATGCTTTTCTAAGTGTTCTATACTGAGTATGTTGTTTTTGTTTGTTTGTTTAATCAGAAGATGCTTTTTAAGAGTCTCAGTACTGTCAATTTTAGAAACATACCTGTGTCCATATCCTTCTGGCTCTTTGCTCAGTATGTTTCATTCAGTAAGAGAAGCTTTAATGTTTCCAAATGAGAAGAAAAGCAAAGGCACAGCCATGATTTATTTAGGTTGGGGGTCCTGTAGGTTTAATTAACAGGCCGATGTTTCCAGCTTCTAAGGCCTAGCATACGTATCATCTATGAATTAAGCTTTTGCGAATTGTTCCAACGCTCACCCCAAGGCAAATGCCTCTTGTTTTATACATTGTGCATGTATCTTTCTCCTCCACTAGCCATTCTGCATTGCATGTTCCTTGGAAGAAGGGAATGGCCACCTTCGTATTCCTAGTACTGAGACAGACTTTTGCTCGCAAATAAATGGCCAAATGTCTTGAATGAATGTACAGTAGAACTCCTACAATGCAAAGATTTCCTGAAGGAGTGTGTAAGCTATCTCTTAAAATATCAAGAGTTGATAGTTTAAAAAAAAAAAAAAAATTCTCAGTGGCCCACACTAAAACAGTCTTTGAAGAGCATCAGTGACAGGAAAGCAGCCTATCAACAGATTTTACATTTTTTCCCATAATTCTGGACTATTTTCGCAGTAGAACTATGCATGGACATATAAATTGATATAGCCATTTTGTAAGGACAGTTGGGCAATATCTGTCACATTGAAAATGCACACTACCTTTGCACTTAGGAATTTACCCTCCAGATAAACTTGCACAAAGTAGGCAAACATAAATAGACAAATATCCTTATTAGAGTACTGTTGGTACTATGTGTTTCTCAATAGGAGAGTGACTAGAATACTATGCAGTCACTGTGGAGTGGTCCCACAGTGGAGAATGAGGTAGATCTATTTGTATTTACAATGATGATAACTGTCCTTTATTAAGTACGTATTATATGCTGCATGCTTTGCCATGCCATTTGACATAGTCTTAATAATTCTTAAAACAACTACATGGCAGTTACTACTATTATGGCAGGTACTAGTATCTTATTATTTTGCAGATGAGGAAACTGAGGCACCGAAGTTAAATAACTTGCACAAGGTCACACGACTAGTAAGGGGCAGACCTGGTATTTGAATCCAGGCATTCCGAGGCTGCATTTTTAACCTCTAAAATGCATATTCTCCTTTCTTCTGATGGAGAGTAATCAAGATACAGACGGTCTTCAACTTAACCATGGTTTGACTTAACAATTTTTTACAATGTACCAAAGCAGTACACATTCAGTAGAAACTGGCTAGGCTAAGCTATGATATTTGGTAGGTTAGATCTATTAAATGCATTTTTGACTTATGATATTTCAACTTAAAATGGATTTATCAGGACGTAACTATCAAGTCAAAGAACATCTGTTATATATTAAATAAAACAGTTCAGAACTGAATGTATAGTATGCTATCATTTATGTTTTAAATTAACTTTTAGAAACATGACAGCATACACTGGAAGGATACAAAAGAAACAACAGTGGCTTCCTACATGGAGGAAGTGGATCATCTCTTATCTTTCACTTCATATCTGTGCATTTTAATAGTCATATATTATAAATTCTTAAGTAAAATAAGAATATCTGATATTTTGAAAATTTATAGTACTTACTGAAGACTAAGCTAATGTCATGAGTCTCAAATGCTTTATTCCTCTCTCCTTACATGCCTTAGTATAGGGTCCCCCTATTCTAACATCCTACCACCAGCTCTCAGTTCAAGATGATAGCTCTCTTCAGATTCACTTCCACTGGAGTTCGTTGCTTATCTGATCCCACTTTGAATACTTAAGTTTTTGGTTGACATAGCACCTTACTTTTGTATTTTATCCCGTTAAATTACCTACATTTTTTATTGTTTCCCAACGAATTTGAGACTGCTTATTTTAAGACATATAGATTAGATAGTTCTGTAGTTGAGAACTAAAATTAACTTGTAGTTTCCTGGAAGTTGGCAAAAAAAAAAAAAAAACTGATTTGACAAAAGGACACATACCATTTTGTTTTTTAAAAAAGTATTTTATCTTGTGCTACATTCTGAGAAAAAATCTGTTTCGTGGGCTCTTTTATGCAATTTATGCTTTTCTGGTTTCTTGTTTGTTTTTTTCTACCCAACTAAATTACAAGCTTCCTTAGGACAAATTTCATTTTCTATACTATTTTTGTTTCATCTCTGCCTAGAAAACATTCACTTATTATTATGGTTGAAATTATAAATTAAGCAACAACTGCAACCCAGCCATATTTCAAAGATTATGTTACTGCCACTTTTCAAAACTTAATCTTTGAGCAGTTGAGAAATTGACACGATTTATATCCTACTCAGCAGGGAATCTTCTCTGATAGCCCTCAGAAAAAAAAAAAAAAATCACAATTTCTCAGTGTAGCTTTTACTGAGTTCTTTTGTAGCCCTTACTTCCTAGCTGAGTATATAGTGTAAAGAACTGGAAATTTGTTTGAACTTTCATTTTATGACAATTATATGTTGTTAAATATGGCCTATAGCTTTTGCTTAAAAAGAGAAACAGGTCTAAAATGGAGTCACTTGTTCTAAGCCCCACATCAGCAAACCAAGGCTTACTATGTGATATGATTGCAGTTTTAGCCACTGACCTTTTCCTTTCTCTCAGGTCAAGTTATCAAGGCATGGGACATCGGGGTGGCTACCATGAAGAAGGGAGAGATGTGCCATTTACTGTGCAAACCAGAATATGCATACGGCTCAGCTGGCAGTATCCCCAAAATTCCCTCAAATGCAACTCTCTTTTTTGAGGCAAGTATGTGTGTGATGTTGCCTTGTTTGCATCTGCTCTACTGTAGTGCTGGCTCTGAAGCAACAGGCCGTGGAATAAGGAGCTAAGCTTGCTATTGAGAATTAGATCCAATTTGTTTATTTTGGAGCTTGGCTTCTTGAATTGTTTCCCACAAACCCAAGGGGTGTGTACCAGTGCTTTCTTAGAAACGTGTCTCTGGCACAAAAAAGTCATATCCAAATAAACAAAAGACACCAGGGTTAAGAATAAAGGTTCTGGTCAGTGGTGTGAATGTGACATTAAAATTGACCAGAAGACAGAATGGAAATGTGGGAGATAATGTCAAAATATACGTAAATCAAGTTGTAAGATATTTTCATTTTATAAGGGTTTATAAATGTCACAGATCTTCATTAGAAGCAGTGGTGATAATAAGGTATTCATCCTGTATTGAATCACCATATTTGGCCAAACTTGATTTAAAAATTAGGGGGACAAATGCCCAAAACAGCATAACAAGGTAAAATACACCCTCGGTTGAAGGTAGGCCTGATTTATAGGATTTATTCTTACATTTTAAGAAGGGAATTCCATGAATCTGGGGTGAAAAAGTGGTAGCCCCTCAAGTCAGACAAAGTAGTTTGGGGCCAGTACTTCATAACTGTGGCTTTTTGCCCACTATGCAGTGTTCCTAGAATTTCCTGTCTGTCTTTGCACTGCAGCCCCACAGAATGTGGTTCCAGACATTATCATTACATGAAAGTTCTTTCCAAGGATTGAAAAGTGCCATGTTCTTTTTTCCCCCTACTCTTCCAATAACTACGATGCATAGATAAGTATAAAACAGATTTTTATTTTGTAAAATGAAAGGACAGTTGGTTGCCCTTGCCTTTAAATATGTTAAATTGATATTGTTTGGTCTTTTCTCAGCCAAATCCATTTTTCCTTTCTAGATTGAGCTCCTTGATTTCAAAGGAGAGGATTTATTTGAAGATGGAGGCATTATCCGAAGAATCAAACGGAAAGGAGAAGGATACTCAAACCCAAACGAAGGAGCAACAGTAGAAAGTAAGTATTGTTGTGAAAGGAACTAGTCTTTAAAAGTTGAGTTCCATTTATATGGATAAAATTGAGATTTCTTTTTCTAAATCTGTTTATAGAAATAAATTTTTGAATATATCAAGAATAGTTTTAAATTTGACATTTATTTAGTAATGACTTCGTTAGTAAATATTTATTCAGTATGTATGTGCCAGGTACTTTGCTAGCCTCTCCAAACTCAAAAAAAAAGAAAAAAAAAAAACCAAAACAGTTTACCCTATCCATCAAGGAATTCCTACTCTATAGTTTCCTTGGTGTTCCAAGAACTGCGTTAGTCGCCCTACATGTTTATTCATTTATTTCTCACAACCCTATGCGGTAAGATTTATCATCCCCAGGTGAGAAAAGCAAATTTAAAAAAGTTATATAAAGAAGATCTGTGACATTTATAAACCCTTATAAAATGAAAATATCTTACAACTTGATTTACGTATATTTTGACATAAATTGCCCAGCATTACACAGTTACTAAAAAGCAGTAGATCGTAATGCCCTTCCAGGGCTCCCAGACCCATCTCACTGGCTGTCATCAAGATTAAAACAGTTTTATCATTTTAGTTAGATCAAGATTAGATAATAGTGTTCATTCTATTCTACAACAGGAGACCTGGGTTCAAGGTCTGCTTTGCCATTTGTTGAGTGATCTGAGACTATTCCATTTTTTCATTTGCTAAGTTGGGAATAAGGACCGAGGACTAGGATAAGTGATCATTCTTCTTTCCAATGGACATTGTCTACACCACTGTGTACACTACTTGTCAGTTAGCATTCAATGAGCATTTGCCCATTTGCCCAGTATACAGTGACTGCTTGAGGACTAGGGTCTTCTTCACCTTTCTGTTTCCGTCACCTACAGTGCCTTATACACATTTGGTGTTAAGTAAACACTTTTCTACATGGGTAAATGTTTGAAAGATGCCATTTACTGTGCTGGAATACTTCAAAAAAGAGTTCTGAGAAAACAAGAATACTTCCATTAAGAAAAAAATCACTAAATAAGGATGGCAATATGAACTATGATAAAAGGCCTATTTTTAAATTTAAGAGTTCATTTAAAACAATAATAGTTGATTTTCTTATCTTTAATTTTGTATATACTTTGGACCCATATTTCTATGAGTTTGGCAGTTTAGTTCAAATTCTCCGCCCCTCCCCCCCTTTGGAAACAGTTCTAAATCATATTGCTGTACTATTGCAGTTGAAGTATTTAGTTATCACTCAGGATAAGGTTTAGAATAAATGAAGATGAGCTCAGATGGATAATGTTGGAGAAATACCTAGACCAGAAATCAGGAGATAGGCTTCTTTCTGGCTTCACCTGTCTCTAACTAGACCTCACCTCTCTGAGCTTTAGCTTCCTTCCTATACAGGGATGCAGGCACTGTAGACCTCTTGATATCTAAGGTCCTACCAACCCTAAAGATTCCGTGATAAAATTCTAAATGTTTATGCAAGCTATAGGACTGATAAAAAATTATCCTCAGTATATGAATAACTTCTTGAAAAGCTTGTCTATAACATGTATTTAAATGTTTAATTATGAAAAATTTCAAACATATACAAAGGTAGGGTTTTTTTCCCTATGATACAGTGACTCCCCACATTTAACAATTCATACTATATATTTTAAAACTGAAGGTTTTTGTTAACTAAAGGGGAAACATTTTCCCAATTACAGACACCACCACGAAACTACCACTGTATAGTTAACTTTAGAGTAGGCTGAATTAAATCAAATCCTGCTTTGGTGGTAATATTTCCAATGGGAGTCTTTTTTTTTAACATTTTGTTTTAAAATAAGTTTTGACTTACCGAAAAGTTACGAAACTAGTACAGAGAATTCCCTTACATACTTCACCCAGCTTCCCTTAATGCTAAAATCTTACATTTATCAAAATTGGGAATTTAGCATTGATACAATAACAGTAACTTTTGTACAGACCTTGTTTGAATTTCACCAATTGCCACACTGATGTCTTTTTTCTGGTCCACGATCAAATTCAGGATCCATCATTGTGTTTAGTTGTCATGTCTCCTTTGTCCCCTCCAGTCTATGATAGTTCATCACTCTTTCTTTGTGTTTTTCATGACTTTAATACTTTTGAAGACAACTGGCCAGCTATTTTGTAGAATACCCCTAAATTTGGATTTGTCTGATGTTTTCTCTTGATTAGATTGAGGTTACACATTTTGGGGAAAATACCACATAAGTGATGTGTGCTTCTCAGTTCATTGTCAGGAGGTACACGATGTTGGTGTCTCATCACTGCTGATGTGAACATTGGTTAAGGAGAGGTCTGCCATATTTCTCCACTGTAAAGTTACTGTTTTTCCTTTTAATTACTAAGTATCTCATTGGGAGTGAAATACTAGGAGACTATACAAATATCTTCTTTTATATCGCACCTTCACACACTGATTTTAGCATCCCTGAATGATTTTTGCATGCAACAGTTTATTACTGTGATATTTGCCTAATGGTGATTTTATCTCCACTTTTCCTTCTACATTTAATTGGAGCTCTGCTGTAAGAAAGAGCAGCCTCTTCTCCCATTTATTTATTCAGTTATTTATTTATATCAGTATGGATTTTTTTTTCTGTAGATTATTATATGTTACTATTCTTACTTATTTTATTGCTCAGATTGTCCCATATTTGGCCATTGGAAACTCTTCTCCAGTTTGGCTCTTGTGTCCTTTCAATGTACATGCTACATTGTTTTTTAAACTCTTGGTAACTTCGGCATCACTGGTGCTCTAGGCTCATTTGTAATTTCCCTGTCCCGGGCTTAAAATTAACCATTTTCCAAGAAAGTAAGATCTAAGTGCTAGGTATACTCATGGAATGTTACTGTTTCAAGAATCTCTTAGCAGACAAAACTAGGAAATACATGTACCTCAGTATGCATATACACACATTTATATGTATTTCTATATTAGTCTGTATACATAATAAAAACTATGAGTATATACTGACACTTCCCATTCCAATCCAACACCGTGGGTTTCTTCTAACCTCTTCCTGTGCTTATTTGAAACTACTTTCTCCGACAGTGAGAAACTTGGCTCTCATCATCCACACATTGTAGAATATATAGAAGGTACTTTCAGAATTGCCAACCCATGTCCCTGTGAAAAACAAATTTCCTTAATAGAAAATATTTGTGTATAGTTCCTCTTGTCATTAGCCTTACAGCATACATTAAAAACAGTTTTCCAACTTAGTTCTTTTCTTCCTCACTCTCTTCACTATGGTTATGTTATACATTTGTAATACAGTTTGGTTCATTGGTTATGTTTGCATTCCATTTGTGGTTCCCCCTCACACTGGTTGATTTTAATTATTCATTTATTTTTTGGATATATGAAACATTACCATGAGATTCTAAACTACAGTTATTGTTCAGTATCCACAAGGGATTTGTTTCAGGACACACTCAACTCTCCCCATCTCCATCCCCCACAGATCCCAAAATCTACCGATGCTCAAGTCTCATATATAAAATGGTGTATTTGCATATAACTTGCACATATCCTCCCATATACTTTAAATCATCTCTAGATTGCTTATACCTAATACAGTGTAAATGCTATCTAAATTGTTATACTGTGTTTAAGGAATAATGACAAGAAAAAAGTCTGTGCATGTTCAGTACAGAAGCAGTCATCGTAGGCCTAACTACATAGTACATGTCAGCAGCAACGTAACTCCCCCACCCCCACCCCCTCCGCCGAATTTTTTTGATTCACAGTTGGGTGCAGAACCCGCAGATACAGAGGGTCAACTGTATACAAAAATATATACTCAGAAGTGTTATTCCTCCCTCATCCCTGCTAACTTGTTCCCATTTCCCCATTATTTCTTCCTGTTGGTAACTAATCTCACTAGTTTCTAATTCTCATATTTCTTTTGCAGAAATGAGCAGATACATGTATTTTTTTTTTTTGCATAAAGGGTAACATGCTATGATTGAAAATTTTTAAATGTATTTGAATAATTCTTTATATAATTTTATTTTCTCTGCTTTTAAATATCTTAAGAAAAGGCAATGACTGATCCTTTGTCTCTCATCTTGTTAGATTATAATTTACTGGAAAATTTTAGAGTAAATTGTTAATTTTTATTTTTTTCTTCCAAAAGCCCTTTTTGGTTTTCTGGGACAAGTCAATTTTATAAAAATTTCTTGTATGTTCATTTATCAAAGTTAAGGTGTCCTGTTTTCCCTCTTTGAAACAAGTTAGCTATGTGTGGGAGGAGGACAGAAGGTTGACTTAAAAGTAGTCCTTGTCAGAAACCAAGATCACATTGTTCTTTTTGAAGTCTTCTCGTACTTCACCAGTTTGCCTTTTTTTGTAACATCAGCCATGCACTTAGATTCAAAACCAGGTAGAAACCCTAGAACTAAATCCAGTTCTGCAGTGCAATAGAACAACAGACAATGATCATTCATTATAAGTCATTATAGATACACAGAGTTACAAAGTTTCTGTCACTTCTGTGTAAAGGTACAGTGAGTAGTGGGGGCATGGCCATACAGGCTTTGGGAGCAACAGACTTGAAATATATTTGGAATCTTGATATTTTTATGACTATACAAGTTACTTAACCATCTTGAGCATCTAGTTTTCTTATCTGTAAAATGGGAATAATAATCTCCCGCCCCCCATAAACTGTTATGACAGTTAAATGAAGAAAGGTGCCTAGTTCATGGTGGCATTCAATTTCTTTTCTCTGTTATGTTTATATCATTTGTTTTGCTTCCTTTAAAGAAATAAATTCTTGATCCTCTTTCTCTTATATCCTAGATCCAATCCATCAGCAAATCTTTTTGGTTCTACCAGGGTTAACCTGGAACCCATCATTAATTTGTCTTTTGTCCTAACAGTCTTCAAATTAATTATATATATCTTAATAATAATCTTACCTAAATCATATTCCTTCAGGATTTTTGTTTGTTTGTTGAAAA